TATGATATGTAGCAAAATATGTTGTTACTAGTTTTCATAATTTGAAATCGCTTAATGGAACTTTTCATTAAAAAAATTGGATTAATAGCTAGGCAAGTTACCGTTACTTGAGTTACTCCGCCCGTCTGTCCGTCCGTCTGTCCGTCCGTCTGTCCGTCCGTCTGTCCGTCCGTCCGTCCGTCCGTCCGTCCGTCCGTCCGCTCGTTCGTTGAGACGCTACTAGTTCTTTATCTTAAGAGCTATTGTTCTACTTTTTTCGCTGTTTGGTTCGTTATGGTGTCGAGGCTTGCACCAAGGAAGGATTTTTTTCTCCGTTTATTGCTAAAAAAGTTATTGTAAAAAAAAACAAAAAACTGTTTTTTACATGTTCCATAATTTTACACTTTTGCCGTTTATTAACGATCCTAGAGATCGTTTATAATTTTGTATTGCTGTCTGTGGTCTGTGTGTTGGTCTGTCCGTCTGTTCCTTTGTCTGTGTGTCCCTCTACCTGTCCGTGTGAACGATAACTTCGTTTAGAAATGTCCGATCGCTTTTACATCTCCGTTAGTTATGAACTGAATTGCATGAAATTCAATATGGGCATAGCTTCAGCCATATAATGCGCAATGCCAAAAGTTGAGTCGAATCGATTCAAAATTCACAGTTCCCTTTTCGCATCTCGACTATTTATAAACCGAATTGCAAACTTTTTTTATTTATAAAAGTATTTGAATGAAATTTGATACATAGGCGCTTGGAACAAAGAAAAATCTAACGTTAGTTTCAAAATTTTGATTTGCGCCTGCGCAGTTCCAACTTTCTTATTTAGAAAAGCATTGAAATGAAATTCTTCTTATAAACAGAAATTGAAGTAGCACATCAAAAATGGATTGCACATGTGCAACGCTATCTTTGATATTTGTGGCGGGATTTTTACGATTTTAATAGAAGTTGCATCTTACAAATGGGAAATGAATGCAAGTGGAAATGCGCTTTCTGTAAATCGTTTACGATTACTTTTTAACTTGTTTCAACCGATGCATGCATTGGAACATCATGGTAATCCTCCTTGCACAGTTCTTCTTAAAATACACTGATCAGTTTTATTAAAATCAGTCTTACTTGTTCGACCCACATTGCTTAGGCTTAGGACATTCAAACTTGGAGCGTCCAGCTTCATCCGATTTTTTAAAATATAAATCCAATCCTCATGCCAAATGCAGCGAAAGTTAACTAGGTTGCATAGGGAAACTTCAATGAGAAGGTTCTTTTTGTTGAATTATATTTCGAGCTTCAAAATGAACAACTTTTCTATTACATTTAGCAAAATAATGAATTCTACTACTGTTTTAATAAATTTTATTTTCATTCTTCCCGAGATTCTTCCTATAAAAGGAATAATTTTTATCACCCAACAATGCTGTTTGTTAAGACACTGGCAGGCGTGCCTTGGTGACAAATTGTCACACTTTTATTGAAAGTATTCATTACCTACCTGTCCTCTCTCTTTCCTAGTCTAAGATATAAAATGACGTTCAGAACATATGACAATTCTGTTTCTATAGAAACGATCGCGACGGCAGAACCTAAGCTTGCTGTTTTTGATGTCTCTAAATTAAATTGAGTGTTGTCAGAAGCTTTGCAATAATTCATATGGCTTCTGCTATAATATAAAGTTTTGTATTATACGCGACGGTACAGAGAAGCAAACCATCTCGTGAAAGTTAATTCACTTAATGGTTATTTATCGTCTTGTATAATAAATAACTATTATTCATTTATAAACAATGCTTATACATAGGTAACAAATCTAAACCATTCAAAATGAGCGACTCATGTTTTAGATCGACTCTTGTGAGTTATTGTCACTTAGAATATCCTCAGGATCCTAACCACGCCAATGTAGGTTATATATAATGACACTATTGACACTGGAAAAATCCATCAGTCTTTTAAATGCATTTGAGCTAAAAATATTCTGGACGCAAACAAACTGTTCAGCTTATAATTAATTACCTTTTCAGCTTGTAAACAGAAATCATGTAATAAGGATAGTTAATGGAATTTTTATTTTTAGGCGTTGCTGTCGTCCAAACCATTAAACCGCGGCCCTATAATTTATACACGTCTGTATTCAAAGCTTTAATTTATTGCAGTAATTATATTTATTCACTTAAACAGCACGTGTGACTTTTTATTATTTTTATTATTCTAATTGAAACTTAATTAAATTTATGACGTCTGCAGAACCAAGCAGATAAGACCGGCTCAATCCACTCAAGAATTAAAATATGTATAACTGTTTTCGCGATGCCCAATTCTTTTGGTCCGACAAATCTAGTGGTAAAATCACTTTCAAGCCTAAAAACCGTTTAAAGTCGACCCCATAGTTACATGAATCAATCAAAACGGGATAAATCCAAGAAGTAAAATTGATTAGCAATGTTTCGAGCAATACAGGATAATTTTGAGTTCCGCGGCTTGAAGACCTGTAAGCTGTAAGCTCATTGACGTTATTCTGGAATCGTACACATTTCCGGCGACTTGGCCCACAAAAAAAGTGTAGAAGAACAAATTTTGGAAATTATTATATCGAACACTAATCTTCTGGAATTTAAGGTTATTTATTTATTCAATATTAATATAATGTTATTAATATAATATAATATATTAATATGTGATTAGTATTACAAATATAAGATTTCATAGTAATTAATATTACCAAATTGTTAGTTTTCATTTAGTTTTAATGTATGAAAGCTTTTCCTTAGTCTAATATAGACGTGTGGGTACTCAGTTTTCTTCAAAAATCCAAAATTACTACCACACATGGTGCCCACAATCAAAGCGCAGCATGAGCCCTCGTAAAAACCTGCGAGGATTTTCACTATTACTTGTTATTAGTTTTCCTTAATATCGGGCCTTTACTCAGTAGATCGTTCCCGTACCCTTGATGCAATTAAATTTTGCCTATGTATAGAGGGATGCGTCTGATGGAATAGCTTCACTCAGATTAAACCCGTATTTGCATAGAATAAATGTTAGGTAGGTACTCTTAGGTAATTATTACGTACTTAATTGTCACATTAAACAATAAATTGGCCGTTATATGTTTATAATCAACCAAACTTCATTGTTCCTAATACTATTCGTAATTGAATGGAAGGAAAATTTCTGTACATTATTAATGATTTTTTATAGACAAAGGACCGAAACATTTTTCCTAGCAAAATCTAGTCGTTATCAATATTATCAACCCTTCATTTTGCCGAATGAATTAGCTATAGTGGTAGATAATAATTTCGAATGCTGTGAGCTAGGCAAACTAGAGCATTTTTGTTTATCTGTTACCTACTCCATCTTTTCAAAATATTGGAATGGAATAATAGGTACGCGCATACAGTAGTCAGTAAGAGCTTAGACTGTGCACTTCTGTAGGTAATATTTGTACTCTGTATATTATTCTTGACATCTTCCGGAACGTAACGTCTTATCATATTTTTAGCCGTATTCTTTAATTATCTGCAATCATTCCTGCAGGACTCGTTGGCAGTCAAATGAAGTTATATTGAAATAGTATTGCTAGTGCGATTTCTTGTTTGTATCTATATAAACTTATGATTATTAGCGTATTTCCATTTGCAGCCACTTTCTCTGTCCGTACGTCTGTCTGTCGATCCAAATCTTACTCCTCGGCTCCTACAGTTTTCAATATAATTAGTTCGTTCTTTTTAAATTTGGTAGCTTATAGCTATGGCACCTGAGCCAAGAAGAGTCTTGACTCATTACGCTCATGTGTCAAACTTTGAACTCGAGTTGAAAAACTCCACTTTCTTCTCTAGTTGTACAAATAACTATTTTGTTGACGGTTTCGCGCACGTTACTTATTAATTAACCGTTTAAAAATCTAGTACTTCGCGTTTCGAAATCCGTCAGGAAATGACAGGATTTTGTGACAGTTATAGAAAAATAACTATTCTGATTTTGACTAATAATAAATAAATAAATAAAAATAAACGAGAAATTTGCTTTCCTTAAACGTGTCGCAACTTTTTTGTCCTTTTAAGAAAGATCAGAATCTGTCTATCTTGTTTTAACAAAAGCACAACTTTGCTCTAAAGTAATTTTAAAAAAACATCAAATGTCTACAAAGCAGGTCAACTCGGCTGCTGTAGCTTTGATCCCTACACGTGTCTTGAATATGTAAACTGTCACAAAACTTCTCTAACGAATGGAAATAACGAGACGTATCACTGACATGTGTGCAGAATGTCGTCATTATAGTGGAAAAATATCACATACAGCAAAATGTACAACCGTGGAGTCCTTGACGTTATCATTTGCAATTAAGATGCAACTGTAATGTAAAGCAAAAAATAGCAACAGCTTTTACATATTGGATTATACAGAATAACCTCGCACATCATGATGATGAATGGACCAATCGCTATAGCACATAAGTATCTATTCATCGAGACTGTGCCGATTTCAAAAGGAACCACCGATTGTAATTTGTAATTTTGATTGAGAAAAGTTTAAAGAAT